GTGTGTCGCTGTAGCTGTGCCGTTGTATGTGCCTGTACGTGTGACTATCTGCCTTTAACTGAGTGTGTGCCTATCAGCATGCGTGAGTGCCTGCAACTGAGCGTGTCCCACTGTCTGCCAACTTGGTGGGGGGTGCATCGTGAAGGCCTAATGGCCCTGGGCAAAGCTAACAGCCTGCAGGCAAATAGTTAAATAACTCTCTGTGCTGCCCTAAGGCTTATGTAGAAGGATTATCCATAGATGGATAATCATCATCCTGCCCCGGGGATAGCACTGGGAGGGTTTCAGGCATTGCCACATGTCTTAGGCACTTGTGGCGCCTTCCCTTTAGCCTTAGAGTCAGCTGTGCCTTTTTTTTGACATTTCGGCAAGGGCAGAAAGTTCTTGGCCGAAATCTACAAGCCCATGATATCCTCAGTGTCTTGAGCTGTCAACCCCATTGCTTGGGTGAGGGGTTCAGGAGGAAGGTTTGTCAGCATCTTTGAGATGGCTTTTTCTATGGAGGCTGCCACCGCGGCATTGATCATGGACTACAAGTCCTGCATCTGCTATATGGTGAGTTTCACATGATGAACCATAGGTCATCCTGTAGAGGAGAGGACGCCGTTAATCTGCCTGCTAATAAGCAAGGCCCGTTGGGGAGACCACCTAGCCACATACAAATTGGGGCTTGCCCATCATTGGCTGTATGTTGATGGCTCTTGCCTGCAAATGCTGGTCATTGTCAACGTCTAAAAAACTAAAAAAAAGGACGATACAGAAAAAACTAAAAAACAAGTCCTGCAAGATGAATGGTTAGTGTAGGAGAGGTTTGCCTAGACATGGCATGGCCATTGGAGTAACTAAATAACCTCCATTTGTTTATATATATACATATAGGGATTTGGGAGAGAGTTCAGGTAAAATTTCTTTGGTTTTTACTCAAAAAGAGATATTACTTGTAAATATGAGGAGGTGTTGAGTCTCCAAATTTCAAAGAGGATTACCTCCAAGTCCCCAGAAATGAGGGCTCACCGCTAGGAATTCAATGTCTGATGGCAAGTAGGTACCATTATTAGGAGGGGGTCACCCCATCAATTCCCTTAAAGCAGGAGAGGGTATATGGGGGCTCACCCCAACAGTACTGCAGGGGGCCTTCTCATGCGTGCAACTATATCAGACAGTCTGCACCAACAGACACCGTCAATTGCACAGTGTAGTACAGTCTTAGCATTGCTTTATAACAGTATTGTACCCTCAGCATATGCAGCAGGCTTATGAAATATATACAGAAGAGAGCTGATAACAATATTCGGTAAGATTATGCACTTTAAGAGGCAGTAATGGCTCAGCATTGGGAAGTCTGTGATTGGACAGACACAGAAAGTCTGGGCTGAATAAGAAGGAGAGGGCTTGCAAAGTTACTTAGTTATATAGTTGTCTGGGTTGAAAAAACACCAACGTCCATTAAGTTCAACCTTATAGTCAATTCTTTATGCCCCCCCCCAAAGAAACCCAATTCCAATTATGCCAAAAAAAGGGGGAAATATCCTTCTTGACTCCACAATGGCAATCAGATTTCTCCTTGAATCAAAGACCTATAAAAATACATATCAATTATATCCTTAAATATTCGGTTTATGCAAAAAAAAAAAGAAGAAAATCCAATACTTTTTTAAAAACTATCTATAGAATCTGATAAGACAACCTCTTTAAGTAGAGAATTTCACATCTTTCCTCTGCTGTAAGTAAAATGCCTTTCTTTCAGTCTCAATGGGTGAACTCTTGTGTGTTGTTTATTCCTGCTAATGAACACGTTAGCACATAGCGGTTTGTAGTGATCCTGTGAATATTTGTATAGTCCTATCATATCCCCTCTGTAGCACCTTTTTTTCTAAAGAAAACAAATGCCGTTTTCTAGCCTCTCCTCATAACTAATGTTTTTCACCCCTTTACTGGGTTTGTAGCTCGCCTCTGCATTTTTTCTAGTTCTGCAATATCCTTCTTTAACCCCTTAAGGACCAAACTTCTGGAATAAAAGGGAATCATGACATGTCATGTGTCCTTAAGGGGTTAAAACTAGTCAGATACATCCCAAAATTACACCACATATTCAAGCTGGGGATTGATTTTTAAAGAGGCAAAATTATATTTTGATCATGTGAATCAAAACTACTTTTTATACACAAACGCACCTTACTAGTTTTTGCAACAGTAGACTGGCATTGTATACTGTTGCCTATTTTGTGAGCTACAATTGTTCCAGGGCCATCCCACGATATTGTGCTGCCTGGGTCGAAGGATGAAATGCTGCCCCCCATTCCACTCCCCCAAACCTTGCGCAGATCCAGGAGATGCAGTGTGTGTATTGTATGCAGTGTGTATACTGAATGCATTGTATCTTTCCTGGTAAAATATTTTATAAATAAATAAATGTGTATAGTGGATACCAGGTGTGTGTGTTTAGTAGATGCAGTGTGTAGTAGATGCAGTGTAGTGGGTGCAGTGTCTTTCTAGTGGATGTTGTGTAGGGGGTGCAGCGGTGGCGGAACTACACGGTAACTTACCCAAGAGAGGGCACCTTGACAAATCCAAAGTTACCACACTTGCTGCTATATATCCAGATTGCATGGATTGAGATCATGACGGCCTACAGGAGAGGCTAGTGTGGGAGAGAAGGCCGCTCTCTAGGCTCCCTACGTTTTTGACCCAATCTAGAACATCTGCTTAACCCCCCAACAGGATCAGTGGGGTTATCATTCTGACAGAGCCTGGTAGCTTCCAAGATGGCAGAGGATGAAACAGCAGACCCGAGTGCAGCACCCATTGCTTCCACATTTTTGCAGAATTCCTGACTCTCTCCCTTGCTTGTGGATCCAGGCGGAATCTGCTTCTGCACATATCTCTGAAACAGAAAAGCTCTGAACTGAGACTTTTTGGTTTGGAGCCGTGCTTGGGTCCAATGTCCTGGGAATGCCTTTTACCTAGCCTCTCAAGATGAGGACTTCTGCTCTTGGGAGACCTTGTGGAGCAGCGTCACAGCAGGCTTTCTCACGTTACAGGTCTCAATTAGTTTGAGACTGCCCATCAAAGGGTTGATTGTCATCCTGCAAATTATGTACTTCTGTTTATATTTGCCTATTGAATCACACATTTCTTTATTCTGTTCATCACTTTACCGATAATAAAATGGTGTTTTCGTATACCAGTTCAACCTATATCATATAATGTGTATTATTTATCTAAACAATTTGTCCCATGCCAGCACTATCTCTCGTGTATTACATGCTATCACCTGAATAAAAAAAAATTGATTGAGAAAAAAAAAAAAAAAATGACGAGAGATCTGCAGCTTTTGCAAGATAATTTTAGATCTATCCACAATGAAAAAATGTATAACTGAGAACATGCATGTTTTCATCGGGGGTATATCTATCTATCTATCTATCTATTTTGGACAGTGGAAAGTCCTTCTAAGGTGCGATGTACATGTGCAATATACTTAACTGCCTTCTGCCCCATGAGATAGACTTACGGAATCTTGATGGGTCACCATAGATATACCTTGGATACATGATGCAGCAGGCTATTTGAATTTCAAACTCCTAACTGACAGTTGTAGATTGCAAATATTATATACTGTAACTACTCCTGAATCCTGAGTATCAACAGCGACACTTTCTTCACAATATTTACGAATTAGAAACAAGACATCAAGTAATGGCAGGTTAGAACTTTGCGTTCACATTATTAATTAATTAACTGATTTATTTACTAGACTGCCAAATGGGTGATCTGGCTCTGCACTAAGCACCTTAAACTTTAGGCCATCATTTTTTACCTAAGTGAAAAAAATTCTGTCTGTTTATTACGAATTTATTTTAAACCTATATACCAATAATTCCTGCTACCAGAGCATGAACAGGTGACTACTTTTTTATAGAAGAAAAATGGGTGGAGTGATTTATAGGGTGGACAATATCTAGAATATTTAAGTAAATTTAGAAGCAATTTATTGTTACAATTATTTAGGGAATTAAAGGGATACTAAAAGCACCCAGATCACTTCAGGTCTTTGAAGTGGTCTGGATGCACTGTCACTGTAAGTTTTTTTTTTGTTTGTTTGTGTTTTTAATTCTTTATTTTATTTGTGCATTGGTTAGTTAAGCAAGTTTGCTTCGACACAACAGCTGGAGCAAACAGATGAATAGTGTGGTATTGAGAACACTGTACATTTTTATATAATTAATCAAGCTGAGCTTTAGGTTTGCAAACAAGAAAATAAGTCAAGCTAGGTACATGTCCAGGATATTGTATTACTACCGTATTATCCATCTATAAACATCAGTTAGACATGTAGAGAATAGGCTATGAACTAAACATTGTTACTGTACATATGCATTACATGTGGGGTAAACCACTGGAACTGGGTGCATTATTAAGGTGCCCCTGGGGCCTGAACCCTGATCTTGCTCTGAATGAGGTCACTAACTAGGACCATGGTATAACGGGCTATGTCATCCTAAGGGGAATCTTCTCAGTGACCTAGCTCCCTGTCAGTAAATTAGCTGAGGCTAGCACAGAGGGGAGTGAGGCTGGGCTGCAAGTAAGTATTAAATAGAATACCAGAAAATGCAAAACAATAAGGACAGAAAAAGGGTACAGCTTATATCCGGTAGTTGCTTAGAGGGCCTAATATGGAATTGGATGGCGTCCATTGTGGCAAAGAAGGTCGTGTAATTGGGGCCATAGTGCCATCCCTATAGATGAGTTCCCAGTCAGCCGGTGCTGAGCCTGGGGAAGATCGTTGGTGATTCTGGGAAGTTGAAAGGGGTGTGAGGTAGAGGCCCCTTCCAGCCCCAGGCCTGTGTGCGGTCAAGGGTCTTGCAGCCGCAGACTCTGGGTCTCTGTGAGTCCAAGTCCTTTCCCTCTGGGGGGTGACAGGAAACCTTGATGGTGTGTGGCCGCCTACATCAGCGTTGACGATGCTTTGAGAGATAATCCCCAATGACCCTCAGCCTATGTGGACGAGCACTGGTGGACATGGGTGGCTGTATGGTTGTTCTGCCCGAAGGGGCTTCGCTCACCTTCCGGTTGTCGTTCTTCTGAGTGTCAATTTGTGGAGTAGATAGCTCGGCACGCTTTTCCAGGGTGTCCCAGAATCGAGATAATATTTCCTCTAGCCCTGCTAAGGTCTCCCCAGCATGCTTTGACAGTCCTGCACGGACTGAATAAGTGTCCGGTCTATGGGCACACCAGCCATCTTGTCTCGCTTGTGCAGGCCTCAGACAGCTCCAGGTGTCAGGCAAATATGAAGGGCCAACCAGTGGCAACTGGGATAACCCTCCCCCCCCCGGTCCAAGGGGCTGGAGCTGCTTTGTATCACCTCGGAGGCACAGCTTGTGCTGAATGGGAGATTGCCTGTCTCTACCTCAGAAACGTGTAGAGGGAAGCAGGTAAGGAACTTGAATACTTGGATTAGCATTTTGGGAGTCGGTGCAGTAGCGGTTTTTAAGATTAAGCTGGGAGCTCACACGTCTTGCCGCCATGCAGGTTAGGCCCCCCCACCCCCCACTGTCACTGTAAGTTTAATCATGAGAAACTGCAATAATTACCATGCAGGGTTAACTCCACCTCTAGTGGCTGTCTACTAGCTGTGTTTCTGGGTCGTTGGGCAACTTTTGGTCACTTAACTGATGCTGGACATCCTATCGATATGCATGAGGACATCCAGCATCAGTTAAAACCCCATAGAAAAAAAAAGCATTGAATCAATGCCGCACATGCTCATTAGGGGAAGGAGGAGCAATGGCATACATTAACTTCAAACTGAGCACACATTAACCCCTTAAATCCGGAGGACGTACAATTACGCCCTCTAATAGGCGGCTCTAAACGCCGCCGGGCGTAATTGTACGCCCTCCGTTTTTTGTTAACTTACCCGGTCGCCGGCGGTCCCACGCCGGCGATCGCGGTGGGGGGGACTCCCAGGGAGACCCCCCGCGGCAGATCCTTCTCCTCCGGTGCTCCCCGGCCATGTGAGAGTGGGGTCCTAGTGAGGACCCCACAATCACATGGCCGGGTAGGCTGCCTCCTGCATTGCCAGCAGGGGGGCTGCCTGTAATGACAGGTGGTCCCCCTGCTGGCTGGAAATAAAATTAAAATTACATTTATTGGTGTAAAAAAAAAATAATATATACTTAGATCATATATATATATTATATATATATGATCTAAGTATATATATACACATATACATACACACACATACACCGTCTAGGTGTATTTTACTATTAATATATATATAATTATATATATATATTAATATCAAATTACACGTAGACTGATTAAATATATATATAATTATTGTTATATATATATTTATATATAATATAAAAAAAAAATGTAAATACGTTAAAAAATAAAATTAAAAAAATAATTAAAAATAAATAATTAAAAAATATATAGATGTGTTATTTCGTTCTAACTGTTTTGTGAAATTAATATATATATATATATATATATCAAAATACACGTAGAACGAAATAATATATCTATATACATAAATATATACGTATATATCACTATATATATATACCTATATATAAATAAAAATATTTTTAAAAAATTATATAGATATATACATATATATACACATACGTATATATATACATATATTAATTATACATATATATTTATGTAATATTTTTACATAATTAGGTATCTTAATTAATTACAATTAGCGGGACCTGCCTGACAACCCATGCCGAAAGTAAAGGGAATTTAATTTGTTAGCACTATATTTAACCCTATAACTTTCCAAGACACCATAAAACCTGTACATGGGGGGTACTGTTCTACTCGGGAGACTTCGCTGAACACAAATATTAGTGCTTCAAAACAGTAAAATGTATTACAACGATGATATCGCCAGTAAAAGTGAAGTTTTTTGCATTTTTCACGCACAAACAGCATTACACGGACAATATTATTGCTGTGATACTTTTTACTGTTTTGAAACACAAATATTTGTGTTCAGCGAAGTCTCCCGAGTACAACAGTACCCCTTATGTACAGGTTTTATGGTGCTTTCAAAAGTTACAGCGTCAAATATAAGGCTTGCGTTTCAGTTTTTTCACATTAAAATTCGCCAGATTGGTTACGTTGCCTTTGAGACCCTATGGTAGCCCAAGAATGAAAATTACCCCTATGATGGCATACCATTTGCAATAGTAGACAACCCAAGGTATCGCAAACAGGGTATGTCCAGTCTTTTTTAGTAGCCACTTAGTCACAAACACTGGCCAAAATTGGAATTTTTTGCATTTTTCACACAAACAGATACGAACGCTAACTTTGGCCAGTGTTTGTGACCAAATGGCTACTAAAAAAGACTGGACATACCCCATTTGCAATACCTTGGGTTGTCTACTATTTCAAATGGTATGCCATTGTGGGTGTAAATTTCATTCCTGGGCTACTATACAGTCTCAAAGGCAACGTAACCAATCTGGCAAATTTCAATTTCAAATGTAGCGTGCTATATTTGACCCTGTAACTTCCCAAAACGCCATAAAACCTGTACATAGGGGGTACTGTCTTACACGTGAGACTTTACTGAATATAAATATGTGTCTTTTATTGCAGTAAAAGCAAACAGTATTATGACACTGACCGTTAAAATGTCATGTAGAACTAAAAAAATCCAAAAAAAACGTATTTTCTCCCATTTTTTCATATTAAATTATGTTTCATAGCTAAATATTTGATATTAAATGAAAGCCCTGTTTCCCCTGAATAAAATGATATATAATAAGTGTGGGTGCATTTACTATGAAAGAGGTGTATTACGGTTGGACAGACATGTAGCGCAAATGCCAGGTTTTGTTTACATTTTGTTTTGTTCACAATGTGTACATTTGGCTCCGTCCTTAAGGGGTTAATACAATGTTGCTGTGTAGAGTTAAAGTTTTAAACAAAACATATTAGGACTTCATATTAGGGGATTCCAGGATATGGAACTGAAACAGGGAGATTCAGATCCCAAAGATAGATAGTTGGTAAGTATGGAGCTGCAGCATCATAAGGCTTCCAATGGTTCTCTTATAATACATTAGGCAGAGTCTCCCAAACATTTTTTATAAAGCACATTAATGAAAAATAATATATACAAGGCTGCTCTAAAATTAATTTCACCTCAAATATGCTTCAATTATCGTTTTATACAACTTATGTTATTATTTTTTGCATTAGTAATTATATGTTATTATGCACCAACATGATTAGCTCATGAGATTGCTTTCCTTTTCAGGATCTCAAAAACCTGTTAACTTGAAAGAACTCACAAGAACTCTAAAGCCATCACTTAGAGGGCTTCGACACCCTAATATAAATCAGAGAGCTGGAATCATACTTAGGCTCAGGCATGAACTGGCACAGAGGCCAATTTGCAGGGAGTTCAGGGAATTATTCGAACTGCTGGATTTGCCCCTGCCAATGTGAATAGTTTAAATAAACATGTTTAATTAGTTCAACTTTACTTCGTCTCTTGGAATCATCTTTCTTATATTACAGGTACCATGGTCAAAATGTATAATGTGTAGTTGTCCAGAGGCCCTTTTGAAATCTATCATTTTACATTTCTTTTTAACCCCTTCAGGACCGAGGATGGTTCAGGACAGTCATCGGCATTTTAGCGTTGCCGACCGCTGACGGTCCTGAAACGTCCTAACGGTGTAATGTACTTACCTGATCGGCAGCGATCGGCGTTGCTCCCGGTGTGGGGAGACTGTCTGGGCTGCTCAACAGAGCGATCACATGGTCACAATATAGACACTGTCAAACATATTCAAGTCTATTATGTTGTGAAAACAGGCAAAACCATAAAATACTATAGTGTGGCAGGGCTGTGTGAAAATAAAAAGGGAAATATTAAAACCTGCAAGGCAAATACTACAGTGTAATAACTGAATCCTATCACTAACCTACTAACAACTGTGATAATATTCATTATATTGCAATACATGTAAATGCATACAATGAATTATAACTTTCCTCCTTGCCTGTTAATAAACAGTGGTTAAAGTGGCTTTAATGCATTTATTAACTGAACATTGCTGGCATAAAAAAAATTCAAAAATAATATATTTGTAATATATTTAGAGCAATATATATATATATATATATATAGAAGATATATATGTATTGTGTTTGAATCTGTGAGTATATTGAGTGTATACAGCTCTGTAAATACATGCAGGGTTACAGTAGAAGTAGGTAAAAGGAACAGAAGTGGGTAAAGGGTGTTTTAAGGTTTGAGAGGGATTAACATCATAGTTAATTTCCCTTGGGTGTTTTATGTTCAAAGGAATAAAAGTTTGAGCTGAGTCATAGTTGAGGTATAGGGGAGTTCATAATTATTCCACATAGGTTAAGAGATGGGTTATGTTTAGTAATGGGATACATGGGGTATTTAGTGTTTAAGAGAACTTGTGATTCAGGCAAAGAGTTTTTTTTCAGGTTTAGGTTTTGAATGCTTAAATGTGAGAAGACGGAAAGTATTCTTTTAATTTGTGGGAGGAGTTAAGAGAAAAAGTGTACAACTAAATTAAAGGGACACTATAGTCACCCAGACCACTTCAGCTCATAGAGAAACTGCTATGTTTACATTGCAGGGTTAATCCAACCTCTAGTGGCGGTCTTCCTGACAGCCGCTAGAGGCGCTTCTGCGTTGCTGGATTGAGAAATGCTTTCCTATGGACTGTTTGAATGCACGCGCAGCTCTTGCAACCCATGCGCATTCCGCTCCACTTGGGAGCTGATGTCGGGGGGGAGGAGAGGTCATATTAACAGTAACTATCCTGACCACCTTTATTTACTGCTGCTAAGGGAAAAGAGGTGTTTAAATCATGTGTAGTTTAAAGGGCTATATGCAAAGCACTCACCCTCTTATGTTTTCTGTAGTCCAGTCAGCCTACTATGATTAATAAAAGAGATGCAGAAGCTATTATACAGTGTGCATCACTTAATGCTGCCACACCTCCTCCTACAATGCATTTATTGCATAAGAGGTTAATAGAAGGCAGAATACTGGACTGCGGAGGACACTAGCCAAAGCTCTTGGTACATATCTCTTCTCATCAGCCCACTTGAGCTACAAAGAGGCACAATATAAAAGCTTAAACAGGTCTAATAAGCAATACAACCCTGGGTATGGCACTGTGGGAGAAAACACAGTGTACATGCCTTTGAGTGGAATTTCTTCATAGATGCCTGGGCAAGCATGTAAACGTACAGCAGAAAAAAATAAGTGCTACTTATCTCAATGGGTGCACAGTGATAGGCTGAGAGCATCAACTGATGCTCCATTAAGTCACCAGACTTTCCTGCCCCCATAGCAATTTGATTTAGCTTGAAGTGGTTTTAGGATGGAATTGTATCTTTAAAGTCTTTAAACGGGTTTGCTATTGTGTATTTATAGCTTTTTTTTTTTTTTTTTTAAAGGACAGAAATGCATTCAATCAATGTATCTTTGCGGAAAGTTCAGTGTCTCCATGCTGAGGGTGGAGACACTGAATTTCCATGTGCAGCACTGCCCCAGGAAACACTCTAGTAGCCATCTGAGGAGTGGCCACTAGAGGTGTCCCTAGGCTGTAATGAAAACCCTGCATTTTACTGCAAAAAACTTGCAGGGACTGACTATACTCACCAGAACAACTACATTAAGCTGTAGTTGTTCTTGTGACTATAGTGTCCATTTAAAAAAACGTTAGCATAAATTGATTATTTAGCTTACTTCTTCTCTGGTAATATTTATGCATACATATTAAATAGCTTGGTATTGGGTTTGTAGGGTGACACTGCCTACAAAACTGTGCAATTGGAACTTGCTGTACCAATAGGACCATTAAAGGGCTATAGATATAAATATAAAAACAACAATATAAACTCTATATTGCACTTATCAGCTAAATAGTCCTGCCAAGACATGTTTCACTGCGACGCTTTATATGTACTTTTGTTTGTTAGGTGGCTAAATAAACTGATTAAATGCAGCATGTATGAGAGATGCTCATTCAAGGTTTACCCTTTGATAAAGAGGGGACGTATGTGTGGGTGGACTCTGAATATTTCTTGAGTGTCATGGGACACAGCAGTGTTGTTTAGTTGCAAGTAATGGACAATCACAAACAGCATGCTTTAGACATGATGTCACTTGCTCAAGACAAGAAGCTATTTGCATCCGTCAAGAACATTGAGACAACTATTGTACTGTAAGCAGTTGAAAAACATGTCATGTAATGTCAATAATGTGAAATGTATCACATTATCAGGCAAATAAAATTAATATTTTCTAGATAAAGTTGGTGATGTTACTGATGGACACTCTTCATTGAGATACTTTGTACCAATGACCATGTGAGTCACTGGAGGCTATGTGGAATGCTTGAAAGAATTTAATTAGAATATTAAAGACCCTGTTAAAGCAGACATACAAAGAAATCTTCATCAAGATGAGAATTATTTTTAAACAAATGTTTAATTCTGGATATAAATGGAGTTATATATTTTTGCTATACATAAAAAGTAGGGACTACTTTTACTCGTAGAAAGCGTGATATTTTGCAAAAGAATCCCATAGAATGGAAAACTGCAGACTTCATGGGCCGAGGAGAACAAAATGGAGGCCCTCAGGAATTTAATGCCAGCACAGGTAGGTAAAGACATTACTATATGCATGATCCAGATATGGCATGATATTTTTTTCTGCCAACAACATGACTGAAGTGTGAAACATAAATCAAGTGGAAGAACGAATACAGAGATGGTCCTGGTGCAACGACTTTTTAGGACTCCCCATGTAGCACAAGGGTGGCTAAAAGTAGATTCTCAACTGTCGTACAACTCACATGATGCTTTGCCAGCTTGGGATTTACCATTTACCCATCATTAAAGAGCTGTATTTGTGTGCAGCCTTTGTATGTTTGAATGTACACATGTCTTTGTATGGAGTAGATGTGTGTGAATTAGGAATTACTCTAGCTTCAGCAGCAAAGAAACAGTTAAACAATTGAAAACAAAATCAACCAATCAGAAAACATCTAGACAGTAATATGTGGCTATGAGACTCATCCCAGCTCCTCTTTCTTGATGTAGCCGAAACTTCAAATCAACCCTGTAAACCAGAAGTAGAATAGTCCGCAAAACACAAGTGTAGACAACCAAGTAAACGAGACACAAAGAGTGCAATGAAGAAACGAATCAAGGATGTCGTGAAGAAGAAACTTCACACTAGAACGAAAAGAAAATTTGTGAAAGTATGGTGTGATTAGTAGACTGGCAGTCATACAGAAACAAACATTAACCCCTTAAAACCAGAGGGCGTACTATTACGCCTTATTCTAATAGTACGCCCTCCGTTTTTTTTTTATTATTTACCCGGTGGAATCGCCGGCGATCGCGGTTGGGGAGACTCACCTGGGATCCTAGGGAGTCCCCCGCGGCAGATCCTGCCTCCAGCGCCCCCCCCCCGGCCAAGTGAGAGTGAGATTCTTGCAAGGACCTCACAATCACATGGCCGGGTTAGCTGGCTGCTGCATTGCCAGCAGGGGGACTGTCTGTAATGACAGTTAATCCCCCTGCTGGTTGGAAATAAAATAAAGTTATTCAGTATAAAAAAAAAAAAAAAAAATTATATACTTAGATCATATATATATATATATATATATATATATATAAATAAATAATCTAAGTATATATATACAGACACACATATACATACACACACATACACTGTCTAGGTGTATTTTACTATTAATATATATATATTAATATCAAATTACACGTAGACTGATACTGATTAAATATACATATATATAATTATTTTTTATATATATATATAATAAAAAATATGTAAATACGTAAAAAAATAAAATTAAAATAATTAAAAATAAATAATTAAAAAATATATAGATGTGTGTTATTTCTTTCTAACTGTATTGTGATATTAATGTCAAAATACACGTAGAACGAAATAATATATATATATACATAAATATATACGTATATATCACTATATATACACACACACCTATATATAAATAAAAATATTTTTAAAAAATTATATATATATATATATATATATATATACACACACACATATATTAATTCTACATATATATTTATGTAATATTTTTACATAATTAGTTATCTTAATTAATTACAATTAGAGGGACCTGCCTGACAACCCATGCCAAAAGTATAGGGAATTTAATTTGCTAGCACTATATTTAACCCTATAACTCTCCAAGACACCAAAAAAACCTGTACATGGGGGGTACTGTTTTACTCGGAAGACTTCGCTGGACACAAATATTAGTGTTTCAAAACAGTAAAATGTATTACAACTATGATATCGCCAGTAAAAGTGAAGTGTTCTGCATTTTTCACACACAAACAGCACTTACACGGACGATATTATTGCTGTGATACTTTTTACTGTTTTGAAACACAAATATTTGTGTTCAGCGAAGTCTCCCGAGTACAACAGTACCCCTCATGTACAGGTTTTATGGTGTTTTCAAAAGTTACAGCGTCAAATATAAGGCTTTTGTTTCATTTTTTTCACATTAAAATTTGCCAGATTGGATACGTGGCCTTTAAGACCCTATGGTAGCCCAAGAATGAAAATTACCTCTATGATGGCATACCATTTGCAATAGTAGACAACCCAAGGTATTGCAAATGGGGTATGTCCAGTCTTTTTTAGTAGCCACTTAGTCACAAACACTGGCCAAAATTGGCGTTTTTTGCATTTTTCACACACAAATACGAACGCTAACTTTGGCCAGTGTTCGTGACCAAATGTCTACTAAA